TGTATTTTTGGCTGGGTATGAAAAGGGAAATATCTGAATCTGTAGCAAAATGCCTATTATGTCAATAAGTTAACATAAACAATATATAGTATGGGTGACTGTAGACAGGTTAACTAAGTCGGCTCATTTTCTTCCAGTGCGGATGGATTTCACCTTAGAGAAGTTAGCACAATTGTATATCCGTGAAATAGTAAGGTTGCATAAGGTTCTAATTTCAATCATATCTGATAGGGATCCTCGTTTCACTTCCTAATTTTGGAAATCTCTTCACCAATATTTAGGCACCAAGTTGCATTATAGTATTGCTTTTCACCCTCAGACAGACGATCAATTGGAGAGTGTTATCCAAGTTCTTGAGGGCATGCTTAGGTGTATGATTATGGTCTTTGAGGGTAGTTGGAAGGACCACCTGCCGCTAGTGGCGTTTGCATACAATTACAACGATCAATCTAGTATCCAAATGGCACAGTATGAGGCGTTATATGGACGTAAGTGTAGGACTCCCTTATGTTGGACTGAGCTTAGTGAAAGGAAGTTAGTAGGTCTTGACTTAATTAGAGAAATCGAGGAGAAAGTTAGATTAATTCAGAATCAGTTAAAAGAAACTTCCGACAAGCAGAGGTCATATGCGGACTTAAAGCGTAAGGACATCGATTTTGCGGTGGTGATAAGGTGTTCCTTAAAGTATCTCTATGGAAGAAGGTGCTTCGTTTCAGGTGCAAAGGAAAGTTATCTCAGCGCTTTATAGGACCATATGATATTTTCGAGAGGATTGGATCGATAACATACCGTTTAGCTCTGCCTCTAGAGTTGGAATGTACCCACAATGTGTTCTATGTGTCTATGTTAAGTAGATATCGTTCAGACCTTTCCTATATCATGCCTTTAGTGTGGATCGAGATAAGCTAGGATATGTCGTACGAGGATAAGCTGATAAGGATTTTAGCAAAGGATGTAAAAGAACTGTGAAGCAAAATTATCCTTTTTGTAAAAGTTTTGTGGAGGAACCATGGTATCGAAGAAGCCACATGGGAAACCGATGAAGATATGCAGCTTTAGTATTCGTATCTTTTCTACGTAGGTAAATTTCGAGGATGAAATTTCTTCTTAGGAATGGAGATTTATAATACCCCAAACTCTGGGTTTGTAGTTCTAGTTAACCCGAAACCTTTAATTCGAGCCTAAAAAGACCCATTAGATTAGCCAGATAAAAATTAAGTAAGAATTGGGAATGGTTGGCCTAAGTGTTGGACTTTTGGGATAAGTTTAATAAGAAGTAAAAAGGAAGAGGACCTACAGTGTGGTTTCCCCCTTTAAAAATCAAGAGCTAAACTCCCTTGTTTTTATCTGATATCAACGTGAAGCACTCCCTTATTTTCACTCACCAAACACTTTTCATCATCTCTTTTATTTCTTTCTTCATTTTCTTCTCATTTAAGTGAAGTTTTAAGGAGTTCATCATTTAGTTGAATTTATCTAAGGTAAGGATGTCATTCTCCATTTAAAGAGCTTCATTTCAAGCCCATATGTCAAGTTTTAAGTATTGAACCAAAAATGGGTTTTAGTGGGGGTTTATGAAATTAAGGATTCTAGATTGTGTTTGGGGTAGGATGAACTTCAAAAAATGTTTTTAGATTTCTAATAGTCTCATAAATAAGTTAGTAACATCTTTTGTTATGCATTAGTGAAAGAAGTTAGAGAAGGGTCCAAGACAAGTGGTCAAGAGAAGTTGACCCTTGGGTGATTTTGGGGAGTTTTCATCAACTAAATCATCAATGAAACACCCTTGTAACCTTTATATTCCATTTGTAAGCCTTATCATGCATTTATGTAGCTTGCATTAACCTTGAAGAATTAAGAACATATTCATGGCAATTCTCAAGTTTATGTGTTTTAAGTTAATTGATGACTCTATATGACCTTAATAAGTTCAAATAAGACTCTAATAATATATGAGGACCTCCTTAGAGCCTTTGGGATGGTTTAGAAAGGTTGAAGATACTCAAATAGGGCATTTTCAGGTGGCAATATCGATACTATATGGGTCAGTATTGATATTGTTTTTATACAAGATAAAAACACTAGTTTTTTTAGTAGAAATATTGATACTCATTCATAGATTATCGATACCATAGGCTCAGTTTCGATACTAGAAGGATGGCTTTCAATACTGACATTTCAGAATACCATTTTGGTACCTATACTCATGGAGTATCGATACCAAGGGCTGAGTATCGATACTCCCTATAGGGGTATCGATACTACCCCTTTTCTCAAGGTTTTATCTAAGTTGTTGGTATCAATATTTATATGGGGGTATCGATACTCTTTTGTTAGTATCGATACTAATAAGCCAATATCAATACCGCTTTATGTTAAAAGATAAGAAATTTTGTGAATTTAGAAATACGGTGGAGGAACCCAAACCACTCTTTAATCCTTCAATAAGACATCAAGTGAGAATGATATTAAAAAAGTTAATTTCACTTAGAAACCCTATAATCTAGGGAATCATAAGGCTTTCCTTGTATGATGTTCGGGAAACGAGCCGGACACCCTAAACCCTATAGAAAATCAAGGAACATTTATACGTTAAGATATGACTAGCCCTAATATTGTGCATTAAGCACTTATTTTCTAACTGGGCGTAGATGCCCCTAGGCTCGATGAAGCAAGTTAGTGGGTTATGCAATTCGATGTATAATTTTGGATTTCCACCTTAGGTAGGATAGAGGGGTGTGTGAGCTCTGAGATGTAGCCCCTCAGTCACACCATGATGTCTACCTATGTATGTATGTTTTAGCTTAGCATATTCGTATGCTAGAAAATATGTTATAAGTATTTTTTAAACATGTACATTAGAGGATGCATGTAGTGTAGTTTGGTTATTAGTGTGGCACTGAGCTTGTGAGCTCGGCGTTCAGAATTTGTATCCCAAAGCAGGTTAGGAGCAGGAGCTTTTGAAGAAGCCTTTGCCTAGACAATTTAGCATCATCCGCTAGCTTTTGAGTACGTCTCAGCTTATGTTTTCGTGGACATGTATTGTAAAGGAACCTGTGTATGTCGAGTCGAATTTATATGTGAAATGTTTTGTAAACTTTAACTTCAAGTCATATTTTTTGGGGCTCCCGATTTGTAAATAGATATTATGAATTTATGTGATTATATAGGTCAAAATAAGAATTTATGTAAATGAATGTGTTACCTTCAAATGAAAAATTTTGGTAGGCCACTCCGAGGGTCCATGTGACGTCATGGTCCGTTGATCTTCAGATCGTATTGTATTAGGACGTTACATAAATTATTACAATAATACTTTTAATTATTGTATTAAAATAACACACAAAAATTGTATTCTTCAAAATTACACCCATTTTTACCACAAAAGACGAAAACGCTTACATCATAATATCTTTTGAAATACTCTTCTTCAAACGCCTTTCTTTACATGACACGTTACATAAAATATAAACATAATTTATATTTGGGCAAACTACATGATTAATCACTTTCATTTAAGTTTTGTATATTTTTTCTCATTGAATTAAAAAGAATAATATTTGGTCAGTTTTGTTTTTATTTAATTAAGATTTAGTCACTTTTATTATTATTTAATTAAGATATTATCACTGAGAGTTAGCTTTTGTTAAACCTTTAATAGATTGCTGACGCGACACAGTGAGTTTATAAAATTAAAAAGGTTAAACTACACAAATGATCACTAATATTTGAGTAAGTTTTCATTTTGCCCATTGAAGTTTCAAAAAATAATAAATGTCACTAAAATTTCAAAATACTCGATAATTTTATACCGGATTGGAGAATCGGATGGTCGAATAGTTCGGGTCGGATACATTTAGACACCCCCTATTAAAGATTAGAAAATACAATATAAGATTCTAGCAACGAAGAAAGAATCTCAAATTGTTTCTTTCCCCCCTTGAAATAAATAAACAAGTCAATGCTTCTCATCAACTAGTTGCTAACTTTATGGTATTATTGCTTTTTGTAGAATCAATTTTGCACAACTAGAGATTCAAAATCAAAGAGCCCACCATCTTCTCATTAATAAATTTTCAACTTCTTGTCACTCAACTTAATTTTTATTTAAATATATAAAAACTTATATTTCTGGATTTGCTTTAAAATAAAAAAGGGAACTCTTTTTATAAAAAAAATTATCTCAAACTTTTCAAAATTAAATTGAAAACAATCATTTATATTAACTAAGGGTTAGTATTCATTATTACAATGATAAATCGAGAGTAAGTTTGAATTTTGAATAAATTAATAAAGAATGCAACGTTATTTATTCATCTCAAAGTTTGTTTCTTAAATTAACTGAAAAATTATGTTTGAATAGATTGATAAAAATATTAATATTGAGAGTTTTTTTTTTAAATATTCATATGACTAATTGAAGAATTATTTAAAACTGAATAATTCAGAGTTTTTTCTTTTAACATTTACACCAGTAAATCAATAAGTAATTAACTCAACTGGCGAAAAACGAACGGTAAGGAGTATATGTGAACACTTTGACATACTGTATAAGAAATCAACCAATTTTGGTCTATAAGATGATAGGATGTCTCATTCAGCAATATTTATCATGAAAATGAAATCATCCATTGCATAGAATAATATTTGAAAAGTTGGTCATATAATTTATTTAAATGAGAAATAAATTGACATAGGAAGCTTTCCGTCCCACGAGTTTTGCATAGAATAATGTGACATGTATTTTTGAGGAAACTTTAATGTGACATGTTTTAATGGGTTCATTAATTTAATGTGACATGTTAAATTAAAAGACCCACTGATTCTGGATATCACTCGTTGGTGGAAATTTCCTGAAAACTTGGCCCGGCATAGATGAGTTGAATTTAGTCCCATTTTTGTAAGGAAAGTCAAACAAAAACAACAAGAAAGCGTAATCTTGAAGGGGGCTCTCGTGGGATATTTTAGTTTATAAATTCCACACCCAAACCTGTTGGAGCTCTGTCCATTGTTTTCTCTCTTCTTTCATCGGACATGGAAACTGAAGCTTCTTCCGACACAGATTACGGCAAAAACAACAGCAGCGGCACTGTAAGTAACCCACAATCCATCTTTCTAAAATGCATCTACCCTTTCATTAATTTCTTTTCTGCAACCTTTGTTTACTATGTAAGCTTTGGCTTCATCTTTACTGTATATCTATTGACTCTTCAGTATCAATATTATTTCCTTTTCATTTATCAACTCTACATATCTTTTATGATATTAATACTCGTATATAAATTTTATGTACAGTTAGTGAATTTAAATCGTAATATAGTAATATTACATTTCACCTTTTACATAAGAAGACCAACTATTCATAAAATGACAAGGTGCCTCCCTTCATTTTATCTGAGTTTGAATCTTAATATTTACTTACGATCTAGACATATTTTTGAGAGAAAGATAATAATCCCATGACAAATACCTCTTTACGAAAGTTAAACAATGAATTTACCTGATCATATATCTATTACCAATAATTTATTTTTCAAATATTTAATCTATTTTATATATTTCTTCCATTATGCAGCTGGCTGAAGTCTTTGACTTTGTTTTTCATTTATTTTTGTCATAATCATGCATTTAAATCTTGTAATAATTATTGAACCAATTTGTTTACAGTTTATTATTATTATAATTTGAAGTTGAGTTGTGTAGGGTTAAGACTTAGAGTTAGGGTTTTGTGATTATATTTAACCCGATTTACAGCTTGGATTTATAGACACAAGGCCAAATCCCAAAAGTGTTGACTTTTATTACTTTCATGTTCCAATATTTCCTCAGAAAAAGACAAAAGCCCAGTTGTAGCTTTAATGTCCAGACTCTAGGATTTTGTCTGTATCTGAAGAAAATTAGGGTTAATTCTCCTTTTCTGTCCCTGTAGTCTTTGACTTTTGAAATTTAGTCACTCTTCTTTCAATCTGGGTAATGTAGTTCCTCAGCTTATCTGATTTGAAGATTAAAATTCATTAATTTTCGTTAAATTTGAATGCGTGTTATCAAATAGAGCTTAAAACCTTTAAGAATTAAACTGTCGTATAATTGAATTCAAAAGTTGGTGGTTAATCGTATTATCAATAAAGTTATGATCTTTAGATCAGACAAATCCGAAAACAAAGGGAGTAGAGGGGATAAACGTGGTGAGTTGGTAAGTGGCATACATCGTTAGTTGAATCAGAACTTTTATATTTGGATTTTTGGCCCTCTAACAATTAGGGGATTATCAGTTATCACCACTTTGGCTTCTTTTTTCAAGATTGGAAAAAAAAGTCAATCTTTTGGTTCCTTTCGTCCTCACCCTCTATTTGACAGTTGTTATTATTACTATCGTCGTCGATGAAAAATAAACATTGTCGATACTAGTATATGGAGTATTCTAGATTTGTTTTAAATATTTGCATGTTTGAAATGGTTAGCTATGCTTCAAGATGAATGGAACAATAATTTCAGTTTTGGTTGTCGATGGCAGTATGACGAGGAGCAATTAGCAAAGCAGAAAGCAATTGATGATTGGCTGCCCATCACTTCATCAAGAGATGCAAAATGGTGGTACTCGGCTTTCCACAATGTCACCGCCATGGTTGGAGCTGGTGTCCTCAGTCTCCCTTACGCCATGTCAGAACTGGGATGGTATGTTCACCAACCGTGCGCCTAAATTACCCAATCAAGCAAATAAACCCAACATTTCTAATTCGGTTTCAGGGGTCCTGGCGTTGCTGTTCTAGTCCTATCATGGATTATTACCCTCTACACACTATGGCAGATGGTTGAAATGCATGAAATGGTCCCCGGGAAACGTTTCGATAGGTACCATGAACTGGGTCAATATGCCTTTGGTGAAAAACTTGGACTCTACATTGTGGTGCCACAGCAACTTATTGTCGAAGTTGGTGTTTGCATTGTTTATATGGTTACCGGAGGCAGATCATTAAAGAAGTTCCATGACACGGTCTGCAGTACCTGCAAAGACATCAAACTAACATATTTCATCATGATTTTTGCCTCTGTTCACTTTGTGCTGTCTCACCTTCCCAACTTCAACTCCATTTCGGGAGTCTCCTTGGCTGCCGCAGTCATGTCCTTGAGGTATAGAATCATTTCAATTACCATTTCCGATAAATTAAGCCGGTCTCGATGTTAATGTTTGATGATTGTCTTGACATACAGTTATTCAACTATTGCTTGGGGAGCTTCATTGGATAAGGGAGTTCAACCAGATGTGCAATACGGCTACATAGCTAAGACTACAGCAGGAACAGTTTTCAACTTCTTCAGTGCCTTGGGGGATGTCGCTTTTGCCTATGCCGGGCACAACGTAGTCTTGGAAATCCAAGCTACCATCCCGTCTACACCTGAGAAACCGTCGAAGGGACCGATGTGGAAAGGCGTTATCGTTGCCTATATAGTTGTGGCCTTGTGCTACTTCCCTGTTGCTTTAGTTGGGTATTGGGTGTTTGGTAATTCAGTAAAAGACAACATCCTCATCTCATTGGAGAAACCAGCATGGCTTATTGCTATGGCTAACATGTTCGTTGTCGTCCATGTTATTGGAAGCTACCAGGTTTGTATTTGACTAATATCATTGAAGATAACGTCCTCAACTCATACCATATGGTTGATCAGGTGTCTTTGGCTATGCAGATTTATGCGATGCCAGTTTTTGACATGATGGAGACTGTATTAGTTAAGAAGTTGCATTTCAGGCCGAGTAGAGCACTTCGATTCATCGTCCGCAATTTTTACGTCGGTGAGTAGAACTCTTCATATATTTCATTTGGTTGGAAATGAAGTCCATAAGGGATTCTAATTTATATATCTAATCATTATTGCAGCGATCACGATGTTCATCGGCATTACCTTCCCTTTCTTCGGAGGTCTTCTCGGATTTTTCGGAGGATTTGCTTTTGCACCAACAACATACTTTGTAAGTAACATTCTTCTTCCAAGAAAAAGATACCTTTCTTTCGAAGAATGTAGCCTAATCTCTTTTTTGTATTTTAGCTCCCTTGCATCATGTGGCTTGCCATTTATAAACCAAGAAAGTTTGGGTTATCTTGGTGGACTAACTGGGTATGTAAACCTTGATTTAGATTCTATGAACTTTATTGCTTCAATGTGCTTCAAAATCAATGCTTATTCAGTTTTTTCTTCTCCTTTTTACAGATATGCATTGTACTAGGTGTTCTATTGATGATTGTATCACCAATTGGAGGGTTGAGGCAAATCATCCTTCAAGCCAAGAACTATGAATTTTACTCTTAAATTTGTAATCTTACTGCAATAGCCGCGTCAAATTTCAGAGCAGAAACAAATGAAGAACATGATAGTTATAAGCATAACATAAGGCCATTGTCAAAAGTCAAATGTTGCTGCCCTTGTTCTACGTAAATCAAAGCTGCAACCTACAAACATGGGAGACTGCAATGTTAAAACCAGAGCACAGGCATCGGTCATCATTGTTACATTTGTTTTATAACTTGTGTTGATGTATGAATACAAAACATAGGTTTTTCTTCTTTACTTGTTTTAATTCTTGTGAAGAGAGAGAATATGCAGTTCTAAATCTTCAAAAACAAGTTACTACATTTATGTAATGGTTGTTGATGTTTATTTGCTTTCAATAACAGTTTCCAAGGTTTGTTTTAGAAAATTTTCCAAAATCATTTAATGTTTATATTTCAGGGTATTTTATATACTTTCCATGAAAATTACTCCTAAATGCACAAAACATTCGACAAACCCTAAGTTCTTCCATCCCTCCATCAAAATGAAGAAAGAAAAACCCCTTAATCCTCACCCTCCCAAATGGCAGGTTTTCAACATGTATTTAGACATGAACATAGGATATTTTCAAATACATATAAATATCTATGTTAATCAGATGCCTTTATCCGACTCTCACAAAGTTCAACCGACACAACTTTGGATCGTAGCTAAAAAATCTCACCAAATCAAGGACTAGAAGTAGGACCACTGAAATCAACTCTTAATAGGGTAAATTACACCGATGATCACTAATGTTTGAGTGAGTTTTTGTTTTTACATTGAAGTTTCAAAAGTAACAAATTGGTCACTAACGTTATTGATTTGTAACAAAATTGACACTAAAGTTATCAATTTATAATAAAATGATCACTCTATCGTTATCTTCGTTAAATTGGTGATGTGGCAACGTTAACAAAAAGGTTAATATTTTATTTTACCCCTAATTGTTTAAGTGTGATTTTCATTTTGTAAGGAACCTAGTCAAATTCGGACATGGGCATGGAATATGATCAATCAAGGACTCTTCAATACAATGAACATATCTTTGAGCACGACTATTAGCCTTGCTAGGTTAGTATACGCAGTACTAGAATGTGTGAATAACAATTTGAATTATCTAAAATATGATTAGATTTGTGTATATTGATTTTAATGACTTACGATGTTTCTTAATTATGTTTGGATGTAAATTTTTTAAGTCTCGACTAATCTAATAAGAATACTTTGTATAAGTGCCAATGATATGAATGTATGATAATGAAAACGTGCTTATTATGTGTACATGTAAAAGATAAAAGTGTATAACATGTGTAGTGATAGTTGATAAGTATATAAAATTAAAAACATGTTAGCTTTGTTAATTCGACTATATGCATATGTTTAATTTATATATGTGTGTACCAAAAATAACCCTCAACGTTTACCAAAATGGTCATTTTGCCTCTATTCTATTTTTGGAGCATTTTAGCTCCCCAACGTTTTATTTTAGGGGAAAAAGACCCCTAACATTTGACAGAATAATCAATTTGTCCCTTATTTTTTAGGGCGTTTTAGCCCTCAACATTTTATTTTAGGTTTTAAATGGCTCATATTATGGAGTGTTCATCGTGTGTTAAATAATGGTTTTCATCTACAGGGGGAGCTTTTTGTCCCAAAGTGAAACGTTGGGGGTTCAAAATGCTCCAAAAAATAATATGGGCCAAAAATGATCATTATGGTCACGTTGGAGGGCTATTTTTAGCAATATGTCTAAGGGTGAGCGTTCGATCGAGTCGAGTCAAAAAAATTCGAATTATTTGAGTTGACGAATCATATTTTACAACTCAGAGTTGACTTGAAAATTTTTCAAGTCGAGTTTATAAAATTCAAGTCAAGTCAAGCTGAGTCGAGTCAATTTTTCGAGTTTTTGTTTAAATTTAATTGTAAATATTTATAATAGTATAATATTATTTTATTCCAATTTAAGTGACTTTCTATAATCATATATACAATACAAATATATTTCTTCATATTTTTTTCATATGTGATATGCATATATCATACAAAGTCCAAAGACTCGACTCAAACTTGAAAATAAATCTATTAATTTCTAAAAAAATTGAGTTATTCAAGTTGTATTTTACAACTAGATTTGAATTTGAAATTTCTTCGAGTCGAGTTTATCAAATTGCAACTCAAAGTCAATTCGAGTCGAGTCGAAAAATTTAGTTTTTCGAGTCGAGTCGAGTTTTGCTCACCCCTATCAGTCTTAAATATGTATAATATATGATAATTTCGTAATGTTAGCTTTGATTTATAATATTTTTTATATAACAACATTTAAGATAACTTTTTTTATATTTATTTTCTAAGTCATTTTTTTAAACTTTTATTGAATACTATGAAATATCTTTGAAGTATTTAAAAACTCAAAAAGTAGATTTTTATTATAGTCATTTCGTATTTTCTTCGTTCCGCACATCAAAACCTCTGAAGAAGTTAGCCTCTGGAGAGGTAAGTTGTCTTACACTAGTAGGGAGAAATATCTTCACACATGAGACGAAAGGGACTCAGAGTCTTTCACTCATTGGAAAACCACAATCCCTTAACATAGTCATTGATAAACCTCACATCATCTGCCAAAATCAAAGTTTAATTGATTAGTCGATCACATCAATCAGACCTACCCATCATATGAATCTACGAGTAGTTATCATGGACATACATCTGACACCAATACAAGGAGAAATATTTTAAGTCACCTTGATTGCTCAGAGGGACTCTCTTTTCTTTTTATGACTCTGATTCTGGAGAACAAACCTCTAATCTATATAGCCAACTGAAAATCTCACATACACAACTAGGGGTGTTCAAATAATCGAACTAATTCGGTTAACTGACCGAACCGAATTAGTTTGGTTAATTCGGTTCGGTTACCGAATTAGTTCGGTCGGTTAACGGTTAAGAAAATTTTTAGAATTCGGTTAACGGTTAATTCGGTTCGAATTCGGTTAATTAACCGAATTAACCGAAATTAAATTTTAAATATTAAATATATTATATATAACATATGGGCTCAGCCCAAACCATTTAAAACCCAATTAATAATTTAAGATCCAATAGCTTTTAAACCTAAATCAATATTAATTAATTAAAAAATTATATAAATTTTTTATTTTATAATTATATATTATTTAAATTAATTGTAAACTATTTTTTAATTAAAAAATATTAAATATATTATATATATAACATTTGGGCTAAGCCCAAACAATTTAAAACTCAATTAATAATTTAAGATCCAATAACTTTTAAATCTAAATCAATATTAATTAATTAAAAAAATTATCTGAAATTTTTATTTTATAATTATATATTATTTAAATTAATTATAAACTTTTTTTGAATTAAAAACATTTAATTTTTATATAAATTAGAAAATTTTAAAAAAAAATCGGTTAATTCGAAAATTAACCGAATTAACCGAAATTAATTCGGTTCGGTTAATATGTTTGAAAAAAAGTTCGGTTCGATTAACGGTTAAAGAAAAAAAAAAGTTCGGTTAATTCGGTTAAGGGTAGTTCGGTTCGGTCGGCCACTGTTTTAACCGAATGAACACCCCTATACACAACCTCTAACTTCTAACACCAAAGGGCCTTGTTAACAATAGCAAATTGATCATGCCTTTGATACTTGAATGATTGAGATACCCCTTCCTAAGATAACATGAGAAACACAAAATGAACACTTGACAATGGGAGCACAACATGCAAAGGGTGAAGAGTCCTAATGCAACAAGACATTTTTGTCCGACTCATGTAGTGCCTCATTCACCTTTCACATAAACAACAATAAAGATACACATCTGCCAATTGAGGTAATTTTAGTTCATATAGTCCATGTGAAATAAAAAATGAAAAGACGAGGCCTGGAAGACACGAAAAATATGCCCGCCCGATGAGACAATGACTAAGTGCTAAGTTAAGGATTATTGTGTAATAATTTGGTAAACCTCACATAGATACACGAAAAAACTTTTTATTTAACACTATGATGTGGTAAGCATATTTAATGTCATACAAAAACCAAAATTATTTTTCATCCTTTAAAAATCAAAATCACCGAGAGGTATGACACATCCTCCTCTTGAAATAATTCTATTGTGGAAATATTTATATTCTGTCATGCTATCATGACATTAAGATGCCTTCTCTTTGGTTGAATATGTTGAGCCGCCTCCATATTAATCATCCAAATGAATGAGGATGTCTCTACTACCTTCTGGTAACGAGATGGTTTCACCCCTGGACACCGTTGAATTGCCTCCATCAGGAGTTGAGATGCCTCTACCCCAAGATTTACGACTTATGGAAACTACCAAAGAGGATGTAGAGTCTCCACTCTAGCATTAAGAGTGATTCTATTGTGTTTTAACGAGTGTCTAGATGTCATTTACACTAGCCAGAGGTATTCCAACTCTTCGCTTCTACTAAAGCAAATATACTTCAGCCATAAACTTCCCCACTCAAAAGCGTAGATATTCATTTACCCCAATTACGGGACATAAACTTCCCCACTATTCTTACTACAACAAAGAAATCTCAATCTCTTAAATCAGAAATGTTGTCAAGGGTGATAAATTGCCTTCTTTATTGGCTAAAAATACGGAGATGTCTCATATGGATACTTCACTACAAAAGGTTTTCATTGGTTAAATCAGATATAAGTGTCTCTGTTGAAGATAAGAAAACATGTCTCTAACTTATAAAGTATAGAGAGAACATCCTAAAAGCATTAAGAAACCTCCATAGGGAATATGTCCAATCTTGATTTTAATTGAAACAAAATGTTTCACGAAAACGTTGACCATGCTCCATACCAAAATAGTTTCGGATACTAATAATTCTTCACAAAAGAGCATACTTGAATTCAGAAAATTCTACGAGATAATTTTACAAAATCTAGAGACGTTTAAGGTACAAATACAAATGATGAAAACACATTCAAAGGGAAAACTAGTATGGTCTTTTGTTAAACTTTTTTTTCTAGTTAAGGTTTTTCAAGGTTATTAATACAAGTTCTTAGTGAGATCTTTTTTTCTTCATCTTCTTCATCTATTTCAAGTATCTTTATATCTTCCGGACTTGATAAATATATATTGATTTTTGGTTTTGCATACTTTTCTTCACTTTATTCGTCTTTATATGCAACGATCAATCAATACATTCTTGATGCAAGTTGCAAGTAACATACAAAACGAGATCGAAGGTATAAATTCATATTCTTAGTAAGTTAACAAATTAATGTTTTGATAGTTTTGTACCTTGGATCTCTTAATAGATATAACTATTATTAGGTTTTAATTCTTATGTGTTTT